GAATTATATTAACTTTATCGGCACTATTAATTATTTGAGTACTTTCTCCTATAACTCCAGTTATTTTTATATTACTATTATTATTCCATGATTTTATTAAAAAAAATTTAAATATTGTTATATCACTTCCTGTATCTATTAAAGCACAAGTTGTTATATTTGTTTCTACAATAGTAATTTGTACATAGCTAATGAAAAACTTATCTGATTATTCATTTAATTCTTTTTACATAATGTAGTTTGTCCATTATAAACAATATATAATCTTTCTCTTTTTATACTATAATCTTTTAATCCATTTAGAAAACTCATTTCTAAAAGTATATGGGGATTTGTATCCATACTTTTATCTATGTAACATAGTACTAAAAGATTTGTTCTTCCTATTTTTATTGGTATCTTAACTTCTAAATCTGTAATATGTACTTGTCCATCAAAATTGACATACTTTTATGGCTTAGTTTTATGAGTCATTAGGCCTTTATTTCTAATTGATGTTATATGACATTCACTAGCTTCTGTATCTATTAATATATTTGATCCATTTATATGTTCTCTTCCATTATAATATTTTCCTTCTATTTTCATATTTCCGGCATTCCTATACAATTTATTTCTTTTATTTTATTGATTTCTTCTAGCTGGTTTTTATTAGGTATTTTAAAACTTTTTGATCTTTTAATTAATTTTCCATCCTTAAATACGATATTATTAGAACATTCTCCTAATTCTATTATTTCAGGCTTATTTTTTGTTATACTAAATTCATATTTTTCTGGAATTAAACTTATTTGTTTATTTTGTTCTATTATTTTACTAATATCTTTACATTCTTTATAAACTTCAATATATAATTTATTGGAATAAATATTCCCATAATTAGAATTAGTAAATGTATATAAAACTCTATATTCTATAGCATAATTTGATCACTTGGTTGCATGATATCATTTCTATGAAGTTTAAAATGTAGTTCTAAAATTTTATTAAAATTTCTATTTTTTAGTGATACACAATATTTTGGATAATATGTAAACATTATTTTTTCATATGCTAAATTTCCTTCTATTGTTCCTAAATGACTATCTTTTAAATTTATTATTCTTCTATCATGTAAAGTTATAGTTAAGGGTGAATCTATTCCTTCTATAAATAGTGATTTAAATATTATTTATATTCCTACTAAATAAACATATTGATTTTTTTTCACTTTGTTTTTTACTAATCTTTGTTGATAGTTCTTCAACTGTATTTTTTGTTAAAAGATTTAATTTATGTTGCCCATAAATTGTTCCTACATCTATAGTTTTTTCTATTTTGTGATATTCATTTATTGCTATTCTTTCTCTTTTCCAAATTCTATCAAAAACTTCCATTTTCCTATTTTTAAGTCTAACGATAATTTTTGCATTTTTCTAAACTTGTTGTTATCAAAAGTGACTTTTAATCCATATCCTTCTATTCCTTCACATTCTGGTATATTTATGTTATTACTTTCTATTTCTTCAATTTCTCTATTCAGATCCTGATTCATCCTCTGTTTCACTTATATATACTTCTTGATTATAATATTATTCAATATTTGATATTTCACTTAATTCATCTTTTATTTCTAAATATTTTTTTGTAATATTCTAACTTTCTTTTTATCACAGTTAGGGCCTACATGACCAATTTCTCCACAATTCCAACATTTACATTTACATTCACTTTTATTTTTCTTTTTATTTTTCTGTTGATTATATGAGTTATTTTTTCTTTTGTAATACATTCTTCTAGGTTTTATATATTTTTTCTTAAAATTCCTAAATTTTTTATTTTTTATATTTTCTTTTATTAATTCTTCTTTTAAGATTACATCCCCATTGCACAGATTCTGGGCAAAAGTCTGAATTCATTATTCTATTAGCATAGCATTAAGTAGGAAACATTTTACATTAGGGGTTTTACCATACTATACATGCAAGGAGTTTCCATATCTTCACAACATATTTTAGTTAATTTTCTTGATTTTTTATTCTTAAACATAAAGTTCTAGGTATTCCAATATTATCCCTAACATATTTTTCAAATTCCATTTTAAAATATATTCCCCGTGAACCTGGTAACTTATTATAGTACATGTCTAGGTAAACTTCCTGATTTTCATTACTATAAAATTGAACATAATAGTAATTTTTAAATTCACAAGTATATTCTTTGATTTTACACATATTGTTAAATTTATAAATTTTATTCTACCATTATCTTTTTCTTTTATTGATTCTCCTTCAGCATTTCTTATCTGATTTTCTCTTAAAAATTCATCTGAAATATTTTATACTAATTTTTCTATACCTTGTCTATCTGACTTGATTATTTCTGTTTGTATATTTCTTTTTATTAATGTTTTTGTATCATTGTTTATTCATTCCTACAAATTTCTAACACCTCCTTCAAAAGATGTTATTAAGAAATCTATTATTCTTTCAGTAATTTTCCACGTGTCATTTTTGTTATATAAAAAGAATAAAATCTTTTGAATCTGCCCAAGTTAGTAAAATAAATATAAATCTATTATCCCTAAATCTAGTTTTGTTCCTGCATGATTAATTTGTTTGTCATAATTATCATTTAATTCAAACATATCTTTATATTTATTTCCTTTAGGTGGTTGTCTATCTTTTACTTTATCATAAAATTGTCTATATAATTTATTATATATAGGTGCATAACTTTCATCTGTATCATTTAATTCCTGTTTAGATGTTCCTGCTGGATTAGGTCCTCCTTCAGTATTCATTAAAACTTGGTATTCGCTTATATCAGTTAAACTTAATTGATCAAAATTTTATGTTAGCAAATCCAATTCTTCACTCATCTTCTTTCTCTTCTAGTTTTAATTTTCCTAATAATTTTTCTCTATATTCTTCTTCATATTCTAATATTTTTGATAATATATTCTTTCTAAATTTATCATCCATATTTCTTGTTTCTATTACTATATTCTCTTTTCCTATATGTTTCTTTCCTTTTCTAGTCATTTCTTTTTTTTTTTTTATAAGTTTTTTATCTATCTTTTTATATTTATTTTTATTATTTTCTTTTAATTCTCTAATTTCAATTGTTAATATATTTATATCGTTTTTTATTTCTTTTACTTCATTTCTCAAAATTTGTATATCATTTATTAACATTTTTATTAATGACTTTAATTTTTCCATATATTCACTTATTGACATCTTAATTTTTTCTCATTTCTAACTCATAGGTTAATTTGCATCTTTTATCTTCCTTTTTATCTATTATTTTTCCAAATCTTCTTTCAATTGTATCTGGATCTACTAATTCTTCTTTTACTATAATAAAATATTTGCTCACAAGTCTTAATCTTTCACATCTTAATTTTATTAATTGTCTATTATTTGATATCCTCATTCCTTCTGGTATTAACATTCTATTTCGTATTTCCTCTTGTATTTTTTTCATTTTTATAAGTAGTTTATTTAATTTTAAATGTGTATTATTACTTGTACTCATACTTTTCTTTATAATATAAATAATTTTCTTCATCTTCATATATATTAATAATTTTTTTATATGTATATATATCTTTTATTTTTTCTATTATTAATTTTTCTAATATTTGTTCCTTTATTTCTTTAGGTATTTTTTTAATTATTGTTAGAGTCATTATTTTTAATCTATTATGAATAGGTTTTAAAAATGCATAACTACCTCTTTCTTCCTCTAAACGCCAATAATTATCTATTTTTCTTATTTTAATTTTCATGATCTCTATGGCTCTGACGCCAATAAAAGAGGGTGCTACTTAAAGCGAACAAAAATCAAATAAATCAAATAAATCAAATAAATTGGTAATCTATTAAAATTCGTGTAGTATCTAAATTTCTTAAGGACTAAAATGAAAGATTTCTATACTTCATTAACTTATTATGTAATATTATAAAGAGGGTATTTTGGGTATCAAAATTAGCCAAAGGTTATTTTGGAAAAATGACCTTTCTATTTGGGTCATTTCCATGTATTTCCCTAAATAAACATATGAACAAAATTAATTATAGAACATTAATTGAGCCCTTAGGTCAAATAATTTACGTAGCCAAATTTTCCCCTCTCATATAGGGGAAATTGCAGTAAAGTTCCTCAACCTATGAATTTTATACAAAAATTCTTTAACTTTATTCCTTAACAATTTACATTCGTATGTAACAATGACAAAAAAAATTGGCAAAAAAATAAAATAAAAAAATAGAAACAAGTGCAGATGGTAATAGTGGTGGTGGTTGACGAGGAAAGAGGTGGAGATGGTAGACGATGATAGTTAGAATGCTAAGTTGAAGCACTTTTATTCTCTAATTTTTATCATTAAGTATTTGCTTATTTATCAATTTGAAATCACACAAAGAAGTAAGGATTTAGCTATTGAGAATTAAAAATTGAAGGTGCATTAGCAAGGGCGGCAATGAGCCTAAATGGCTCGTTTGCTCGGGCTCACTTCACCACAAGCTTTGGGCTAAGTTGGACTTGGATTTCGACGAGTCGAATTGAGATATATAAAGCTTGTGGGCTTTGCAACACCTAGCACTTATTGGCTTCATGAACCACCTCAAAGGCTGGCTCTTCAAACCTATGGACCACATACAAGGATTGCAAGCATTTTCTCTTGATTTTTTTCTAGGATATGTTTATCAGTTTTGGAGTTTTGAATAAAAAAAAAAATAAGATGAAAACAGAAGAAAAAGATTGATGTGAGACTCACACACTCATCTTAATGGCAATTTGAAAGATTCCGTCTACAACATAGCAAAAGGTTAATGATTTTACTGCAACAAATAAAATATTAGGGACTTGTTAGCTCAAAATGCATAGATTAGGAATCTGCCGCAATTTTTCTGTCCTGAGCGGGTCTTTTACATTTTCTCTCACACACACCCACATGTGTGTGTTCGGTCGCACATATATATAAAAAAATTGTAAATGAAAAAGGCCATCCATCCATAAAAGGCGTCTCAATCCTGTGGCTTCCAATCATTTCTTCGTGTACAGACTCCCCGAGCTGGATCCTTGCGTCTCTCTTTCTTTCTCTAGCTGCCTTTTTCTTGATCAAAATCTCTGTAAGTTTTTATCTTTTTTTCCTTTTTTGTTTAATTACAATGTCAAAACCGAAGTCGGAATGTTTAATTCATCTTATATGTATATTCACTCGTTTACACAATGCAGCGTACAAATGTTCGCGTTTATATGTATTCGTATAAAGTCTTATATCCAATGTGGGTTTTGTTAAATTGATTTCTTGATTATGTGCGGAATGTGGTGATTTTTCTTGCATTTTTTTTTATCTAAAAATGGAATGGATTTTCCTTTTGATTTATTGAACGGCATTTTATTTTTGGATTAGGGTTTGGGTGTTTCTTTTCCCCTTTCGTCTTTATGTGTGTGGTTTTATATGAATGGGCGTGTTTGAGGGAGGGAAATGTTTTTGCATGCGTGAATGTGGTTTTAATTTCTTGAGTAAATGATTTTTTATTTTTTATTTTTGGGTTTATTTCAGTTTTTTTGTAAGGTTAAAAAGGCAATGATGAGCAACGAAGAAGAGAAGAGGTGTCCACTTTGTGCAGAGGAGATGGATTGGACGGATCAGCAACTTAAGCCTTGCAAATGTGGTTATCAGGTTTGATTATTTTTACATTACCTTTATATTTAGTGGATTCTTGTTGATGTTTTATATGGCATTGAATGATTAACGAAAAAAATTAATGTTCAACGCATGAAATAGTTTTTCTCCTTCCTTCCTTCTTGATTTTTTTTTTTTTTTTTCCGATCTTGTACTATTTGATTGTACGGCATGTTTGGGCATCTCATATAAATGAGGTTTTTGAATATGTTTGGTGTTTGCTCTAATGATGCATATTAGGGGTAGCTGATTCAAGATTTTTCCTTCTTTAATTTTCATTCCAGTGGAGGGGAGTGACATGTAATGTGTTACTGTGGGTTGGAGGAAAGAGATAGCAATATAATTAAAAAAATTGTACTTGGTGCCTTTTTTTGTATTTTTTGGGGTGGCGTGGGAGTGGGGTTGATAGGTATTGTGAAATTAAAATTTGTGGAATGGGATTGGTGGCTTCCTTTGCTTATCTTTTATTACAGTATGTTATTCAAAGATATAATGTAATTGATGTTCTATAGCTATTGCCTGGCATGAACCATTTTTATTCTAAAATGCATTGTCTGGGTATAGATTTCTCCGAGTTTTAATGTTCTCCTATCACATCGTTTCTGAACTGCTCGTCAGTTCAACTCCAAAGTATTGATGATAGAAAGTTAGTTGATGTATTTCTTGATACTAATGGGATTGTTTATTGCTACAACTTCTCTTTTTTTCATACATATTAATGGTCTTGATTTGTCATAGAGTATAATTTCTTCTGCAACCATGATGAGGGAGTTTTGTCGGGGTAGTTGAGGCTGGCTCTAGCGATTTAAATGTCCAAAAAGTACTGTCAAATTTGTGGATATTGTGGTGTTGTATCCGCCTTATGTAAATAGATGCTTCTTGGTTTATTGTACTTCTGTCGTGTTCTATGTAAATGGATGGAAATCATCTTTCTTCTTGGTTTTTGTATTTCTCACACATTTGAAGAATTAAATCCTTGTTTGCTATAATCTTACAACAGTTAGGAGTAATTTTTGTTCTATCATGCAACTTATATTATTAATAATGTTGATGATGGAAAACTTTATTTGAAGTTTGGATTTGTAAATTGTCGATAAAGGTTTATTGAATTTAGAACTTAGCCAGAAAATTCATCAACTGGATAAATTAAAAAAGAGATTGAGCTTGCAAGCTTTTTGGATCAATTAGTATCACCTTACAATGTTCTTATATTCTAAAGAATGCAGCTGGAATTGAAATTAACGGGCTTGATAGATCTCAGATTTTCTGCCGAATGATGTTTTAGATGTGGAAATGTTTAACAGTAAAGGACCGGTAAAAGATGTTCACGTTCTTCATAAAACCCCTGATTTTTTCTAAAAAGGTTGGCTAACTAATGGAAGAGAGACAGTATTATTTGAGTTATAGCTAGGGGTAGTGGTATAGTTCCTAAATTGTAAATTATAACATAACAAGATAAATGTTGCTCGTTTATGCATTTTGCTGAACTAAATCTTCAAGCATAGTAGGTTGATAACCCAAACAAATGTAGTTTTCAGTTTAGTGTTTGAGATTTAATGGCCCTGAAAGTCATCCCATCCTCATCAACACCAGAATACGTGTTCCTAGTTTATTTTTAGCTTTCTGATGTCTCTTCTATTAATATTTGTCTCCTGATACCTATCAAAAAAATATTTGTCTCCTGATGTTTGGAACTATATAAATGTAGAAAACTAGTCATATTTTAATTACATTTATTTTTTGTCTCCCTCTCCCCTGTGTTTTATGCCTGAGGACATTTTTATCATTTAAAGTTTAGTCATCTGCATAAAAACATTACCACAATATCTGAATAACATTACAACATATCTCTTCTGAATAACTTCAAAATGCAATCTCATTTTAGTGGTATTTGTTAAGCATGCTGTTGTAATCACTGCAGGTGTGTGTTTGGTGTTGGCATCACATCATAGACATGGCAGAAAAGAATGAGACAGAGGGGCGATGTCCTGCTTGCCGGGCAATCTATGAGAAGGAAAAAATTGTGACAATGCAAGCAAGTTGTGAAAGGTTGGCTTTCTTTTGTGATTTATTTATTATTTTCTGATGTATGATGCTGAGAGTTTGACATTTAAGCAATTTATTTGTTTCATTGTTTTTTCCTTATGTGAGATGCAGAGAGCTAAACATTTACAATTTACTTTTTTTTAATATATTATATAGGACGGGGAATAAATTTGCAAGTCGGAAAAACAAGCCTCCAAAAGGCAAGCCAAAGATTAATGAAGTAAAGAAGGATCTTACAAATGTTAGAGTGATTCAACGGAAAATGGCTTATGTGATTGGGTTACCACTTAGTCTTGCCGATGAAGATGTAGGGAGCTCCTTCATACTTTCTTTTGTATTTCTACAACCTCTGTCTTCCTCCTATCAACAGGGGTAGTTTTTATGTCTTGATGATGGTTCTAACTGATTAACCAAAATTTGTGTACTTTCTCCAGTCTAAAGAAATGTTTCTTTTTTAACAGCTATTACTGCGGAAGGAGTATTTTGGTCAGTATGGAAAAATTACTAAAATCTCTCTCTCCCGGAATGCTAGTGGGGCCATTCAGCAATTTATCAATGACACTTGTAGCGTGTGAGTTCAAAGCTAGCAATTAAGTATCTTTTCTCTTGTTGAACAATTGAGTAATTTTTGGTAATCAAAATCGAGTTAGTCTTCAATTTCAAGGTGGTTGCTACTAGTATTTTGCCTCTTGTACTCTTCTACTTTGGTTCGACTTGATGTAAATATTTATTCTATGAGTAACTATATTTATACATAAAAAAATACAACCTCTCAAGGCACATCAAACAAATGAGACTTTTTTGAAAAATACTGGAGCAGTAAACTGAAGCACACTTGATGGGGATAGTGATTTGCTCATGCAGCATTTTCTTGAGTAAGTTTGATGCCGTAATCTGGTCATAGAGACAGGGAACATTATCCTGTGATGCAGTGTCTTGGTCAATTTGGCTATTGTCTTTGTATACTTATTACCAGTTAAAACAGAATTGCTATCACGTTGAAGATTCTTCGTCCGAATATGAAATATGAACTTATAAGATTTGCAATCAGTGTGAATTCTGAGACTAAATTGGAACAGAGAATATGTTTGTGAAATGAATGGAAAGAACCTAATTGTGTTTCAGTTTCTTTTTATGTTTTCTAATGAAGAATTCTATTTAAGATAATTTAGTGGGAACTGTGCAAAATGGATGGAATTGTTTCTCGGGAGAATGATATTATGTTGTGTTGGCCATACATATAATGCTTGTTGTATTGTAGGAAACTCAATAAAAAAGGGTGTGATTGCATCTAATATTTTGTGACATGGATGTGGATGTTTAACCAGTTACAGATCAAGGCAGATGCAGGAGGTGTTCCACTTGTAGATCCCCAATTTTTGTAGAAGGATGAGTGGTGATAGTGAATGAGTTTCTTTAGTCACATATTTTTCATTTTCTTTTATACTGTAAATTTCCATATTAGGATTTGGTTCTTATGCAGCATTGTTTTATAATTTTATTTATTTATTTTTTTTTTAATGTAGAAATTGTTATTCAGCCCATGTGACCTTTTGTTTGATTTCATCTATTCTTATATTGCGTTTCCTTCCAGATACATAACATATTCGAAAGAGGAGGAGGCCTTGCGGTGTATTCAATCAGTGCACGGTTTTGTCCTTGAAGGTAGGGATTTGAGGTAAGAACAGATCCCTTTCCTTATCCTTTTGATCAAATAACATGCTACTGTAAATTTTTTTCGAGAAAGTAAGAATTGGACCACTACTTGTACCAGAGCATCATTTGGAACTGCAAAATATTGTCATGCTTGGCTGAAAAACACGGTATACCCATATTATCCCTTGTGATTGTTTCCTTTATACAACATATTTATTTGAGAAACCTTGCAAGAAGTATTCTCTCAGAATTTGAGTTCACAAAATGCTGACAGTTGTTTTCTTGTCCCAGCCTTGCAATAATCCTTCCTGTCTATATTTGCATAGTATTGGGGATGAAAAAGATAGTTTTGGAAAAGATGAGGTTGCTGCAGTTCATACAAGGTTTTACTTGCACAACTTTGTTTTCATTCTTTTGACTTCCAATTTGATGCTTGTGACGTTTTCTGTTGTTCCAAAAATAAAGGTTTAATTAGCCTACTTTACTATGATCAAAGTGCATATAATATTTCAGGCAATCAGTTTTTGTTGAGTAGCCTGTGATTAAATTGGAAAAAAAGAAAGAAATGGTGATAAATAGGTTACAGATAGGAGTAAACTACCTCGGAAAAAAATATTTGTCCTATGAATTAAATCTGACATCCAACAACTGGTTAATCAGCTAACCTGATAGAGGCGAATGTTTGTGAGCTAGAGCAGCCACTCTTAGACTTTCCATGTGTATTCAAGTGTTTCAGATTGGAGAATGACTGCTGATTCTGATGATGGAAGTATGGCTGCACTGTGGCAGTTCTGTCTTTAGTGTCTTCTTTCCTCTACAGCAACCCATCTAGGAGAGAATAAGAACATTGTCTTCTTTCCGCTTCAGATTCTCCATTAACTTCTTTTGTCTTTACACATATGAAAGTGCTAATAATTATTGGAAAAGTGGAGCAGTAAAATCCTGTACTAGCTCGAGGGACTGCATTTTGCTGTCTGTGAGAAAGGCATGATACTAATAGTATTAAAGAGTTAGGGGAAATCACGATCCTTTCTTTTTCAAGCTAGATTCTTTTTTCTCTTTTCCTCTCCAGTACATCACAATATATCCCATTAATCATAAAGTAAATGTATTTAATCCTTGACATGCACACACAGTGGGCAGGTCATCTACCTTTTTGCTTTAGTATTTTGCAGCATAGGAAACTTCAGATTTTTGCAAACGGCTTCTATTCCCTGTTTCTCAATGTAAATGTTTACTATGTTGTATCTACCTTTGTTGGTTTTGACTTCTTTCTTGGTCTTTAAAGGAGTAGAGTCCAACAAATAGTTGGTGCTGCAAATAATCAGCTAAGACGCTCTGGCAGTGTGTTGCCATCTCCAGTGGACTGCAATAGTAGCAGCGCTGACACAGATGACACATCTAATGGCAGAAGTGCCATGATAGTAAGTAGTTTTATAAAAGGTTTTGCTTGATAACAATATTGGTCTTAAGACTGTTTATCATATATTCATATGCATCAGAAATACGATGTTCTTTCTCAATGATGCCTTTTTACATAGTTTACTCGGAGAAGTTTTGCATAGAAGATAATATGGTAAAACACACGAATGGTCACTGAAAATTGCCCTAAATTTCATGTTCTTCACTGAACTTATATTTGTTCCAAACTTGTAGCTGAACCAGATATCAGTCTAATAGTGTTGCTTTACTGAAACATTTTAAGAAGTTCAGTGATGAGTTTCAAACGAATTGAAGTACGGTGACCAACATGAAATTTAGGACAAAGTTCAGTGACTATTCACATTTTTTACCCCGAGATAATGTTTGTGATAATTGCTTGAGATTGAAAAATTATTGCTAAATAATTCTGGTGTTGATTTCCAGGATGCAACTCTTGGGTCTGCAAATAGAAACGGTGACATAGCATGCACATTTCCTTTTAAGTACAAGGAAGGTGTTCCAGCACCCAACAAAATGACAACTTTTGTAGATATTGTTGGACAGTCTAATTTTTCTTGTCCAGTAGAAGATGAAATTATCAATGAAGATGGGAACTTGTGCTCCAAATTTTCTTCAGTAACTATAAATGGGGATGTACATGCAGGAATTCCATATTCTGTTGCTAAGACATCCGAAGTTTCATCTAATCACCTGGGCATTGGATTGTGCTGGGAGCAACAGTTTAAAGATATTCCAGATGAACCATTTACAGAAGGTTCCCTGTTATATGAGAATCAAGGATCTAAGGATTCTTCTTCTTCAAGTCAGAGGGATTGTTCTCTCCAACAACCTTATCCTGCAAGCATTTCAGTGGATTTGTGCAGTCCTACTTTGTTGCATAAGAAGTCTCATACTTTGAGTGATGTTTTTGCAGATCATAATGTTGTAAACAGTTACGAGGATGAAGCTTCTTTACCGTTCAGATGTGTAAATTCGGTGTTAAATGATGAATGTAATGAGATGAAGTTCCGAAATTTTGCCAAATCAGATAGAATTTATAGAAGTTCTAGCTCATTTTCCAATGAAGAAATTGTGGAGCACTTGCGAAGAATTGATGACGATAACTTGACCAATATCAAGGAAAGCTCTGCTTTAGATGCTGTTGAGAGCAGTATAATTTCAAATATTATGTCAATGGATTTTGATTCATGTGATGATTCATTGAGATTGCCTAGTGGTTCTTCTGAGTCGCTTGTTGAAACTGATGGTCTGCGTGGTTCTTCCTGGAATTCCCTTAATGGCATTCAATCAGGGTTCTCATTTCCAGAACAGGCAAATCAAGTGGTTGGAGCTGTCCTCCCTGATTTTAGGGATAAAAAGGAGCAGTACTTGTGCAAGCCTCAGTATCGAGGTAAATTGAAACCTTTTTTGAGTTTTGTTTTTATTGTTGCTTGGCATTTAGCCAAATAATATGTTCTAGTTTTCGTCATCTTTCTATTGGTACTCAGTTGCAAATTCTATTCTTTCCTTTTTAAGTCTTGGTTAAATTGGTTTCCCCTCTATGGTTGTTACATATTCCTTTTCTGGCTTTTGAGCTTTTGCTTGTATAACTTTTTTCTACTCAGCATTCATTCAACTTCTTCACCAGTCGATATATGATTGTGCACTGACAAAATTCCCGTAGTTTCTATTTTTCACTGTTGCAAGATTTATCATAATTTTTTTATAATTCTTGCTTTCGTTTTTGGGTCAACTTTCTATAAAACCAGCTGCTTTCTAGGGTTTTTACCTGTTATCTTCTGCTGTGAAACTTGATCGTTGGGGAAAATCTTCCAAGCTTAGTGATCTTTTATCTCGTGCACATAATACATTCATGCATACAATTGTGTGTGATGCGAATGTATATTTTCATGTGCATGGTTGTTTTATAAAAATCCATTCTTGATTTGGTAGCGTGTTTCTTCATGTCTTGGTTTGGGACTATAATAGGATACACACATCCAAACTTTATCTCCTTTTTGTTGGTAAGAAATAGAATTTATTATTTATGTAACATAAGGTACTTCCAAGAAGAGGATAAGGAGTTCTCTTCTAACATAAGGAAGCAAGTTCAAATGACAAAATATAGTTTTATCTCAATCTTCCAACCAAGAACTGAAGATGGAGGAATATCTTTAAATTCTTTAGATGTTGAAACCTGTGAAGTCAAAAGCTTGGCTATCTAACAGGAGGCTAGTTATTCCTTTTACCTATGTGATGCACCCATTTTTCGGTCATTTCTTTCCATATTTCCAAATTTTGTAGAATTGTATCTTGATCATCTCTTCTGACAGCTACTAGGCCTCAAGGTTTGGCTCCACCTGGGTTTTCAGTGCCCTCCAGGGATCCGCCTCCTGGGTTTTCTTCATGTGAGAGAATAGGCTCCTTGCCCCGTGCCCCATCTGGTCTCTCTCTCTCTCTCTCTCTCTCT